GCGTGGCATGGACCAAAAATACACGTTATCGGCATCAAAACATTGTCCCCATGGGTCCCCAGCACCGCTCCGGATGGTGCTCCACACCCGGCACGATGGTTTGTCCATGCTCTGCCTGGCTCTCCCTGGAGGGAATCATTCACATTTTTGATAGCGCAAGGCCAAGCAGCTCCATTTCTGCGGTGTTTCTAGCCTTTCTGTGCAGCTTCGCATGCCTTTCTCCTTTGGGATAGCTTATTAGCTTGCGAGTTAGCAGAGGATAAATGAAATAAGTTCTTACTGTATAAATCAGTAGTAATGGAAGAAAGATGCTTTCAGGAAAAAAAAAAAAAGGCAGAAGGCAGCAGCAGCTGATCCCTCCCCAGCTGAGCACGGAGCGCGGCATTCCCAAAGCGCCGTGAGCGGGAGCCGGCCGGGATGTCCCCTCCTCTCTGGGTGCTGCAAACCCTGCCTTGCTCTCACATCCTGCGGCTCTCGGCTCCATCCTGCCGGCTCCCGGCCCCCACGGAGCATCCCGGGGCCGGGCATCTCGGAGCAGCGGGACGGGGGGGATGCTCGGGGGTCAGCGAATCCTGGAGCTCCCTTTGGCATCTCCGCTGCTCCCAGCCCTCAAGCCTGGCCCCACTGGCCACGTTTGCTCTCCAGCACTGCTGGAAAATCAAAAATAAATGGGAGGAAAGGGAAAACTCGGAGGCATCCAGGTTCATCGCTGGTGTGAATGCAGGATGCTCATTGCCAGCCCAGGGGCAGAGCAGCTCTGCAGACCCCGGCGTGCTGCAAACGCTGCGGCCGTGGGGCAGAGCAGGAGCACGTGGCAGTGCCGGGCAGAGCCGCTGCTCACGGCTCCGGCTCCAGCGCGGAGGAGAAAGGATTTTCCCACTGCCTGGAGCAGCTTCTGCCGGGCGTGGGAAGCAGCTCTGCTCCTTCGGCTTTGTGGGAACAGCTTTAATAACTCCCCCGTGTGAGGAGAGGTTACTGGGTTTTATACATACTTGAAAGGCTTGATAGCTCCTCGCCGCGGCCGGGCTGGATCCAAAACCCTGGG